TGGCTCCAGCGCTGCGGGCCATCTTCCCCCACGTGCCACCATCTTCCCCCCGGTTCTGCTCTGGGCATCCTCCTCCCTCCTGGGCCCGGCCCCAGGACTGGGCGCTTTCCCCTCTCCCACGAATGAATGCTGGTACCTTTGTGTCCCCTGCTGCGCCCCCTCAGCTGCGTTATCCCGGCTCTGTTCCTCATTCCCCGCTGCCACCCTTTGCCTGCCTCCCGTGACCCAGCTCCTCGCGCCCTGCTCCTGCACACCCCTCCTCTCTTTACTGTTTCACAGATGAAAAATGCTGCAGTCCTGGGCTCTGCCGCTCCTCTCCCCCCATAACTCCAGCCATGCTCACTCCAACCTTGCTGTGACTCATCTCCAACTCCTTTAACCTCAATATTCCTGCAGTAACCTCTGCCGTTTGCCTCTTGCGTTTTTGCCCTGGCCCACTCTGCTCCTGGTGGCCCTCCTGGTATTTGTCCTTTGTTTGCTGGTTTTATATCATTCTCACTTCTGTAATCACCTCCTTGCTTTATCATCTTTCTCGCCTGCAGATTTCAGGAATTCCTGTAAACTATTCGCACCAGTCCCCTCCCTGTTCATTCTTCTGTCCTTTGGGTTTGCAGCCCTAGCTTGTGCCCTGGTGCTTTTTTTTTTTTAATTAACCCATGTGATGGAGGAGCCACACTCGAGTGGCTTTTCATTTAAGTTCGTGTAGAGTAAGGCCACATACGAGATGTATATCTCTCTGTATTGAAGCTGCTGTGACCCCTGCCCACGCTTGAAACATGCGTGTGGCTGAGCAGTCGGGCAGGAGAGCTTGCCTTGAGGTCCCTGCCTGGGGCTGGTGTCGCTCAGGCTCTGGGTACCTCGAGCCCTTCCACCTATGGAATGGTTTAGACTGGTCTGGTGGTTATGTGAGCAGAGAACAACTTGCTTAGTTGATAAGATAAAATTTGAGAGCTCCCTACTTGTAAAAATGAGTTTGAGTGAGAAGTTTGGTAATTTTTCTCTGCAAAACAATAATTGGGTGGCTGCCAACGAGAGGGTTGTGGTCCCGAGAAGGACAGTAGGGAGGTGCTAATGTGATTCCAGGCACCAGTAACCTATTGCACACTTAATTTGGTTTTGCTCCTGAAGTTTTATGGCAAGGTCTGTCGCTTTGTTGTGTTAGAACCTTCGTTTGTGAGGGCATAAGCTCAGGACAGGCTCTAAAACACAGGTTTCAAAAAAACCCCTGGCAGTTACTGTGCCAAAAGCTTGGTAGCTTGGTGCGAGGTGACCAGAAAGGGAACAAGGATAGTTATTGTCTTCAATGACACCCTCCCTGCCTCTGTTTTGGGAGCCCAACTTCTGATGTTACCAGCACTACGTGTGCAGGTTAAACAGCCCAAACCCCAAACTCAAGCCCCTGTAGGTGTTGGACCTGGGTGTATTTCTCAGCGTGGTGATCTGGCGGGGGCATTGCCCGGGGGCTCAGCAGCTCACGGAGCTCAGGAGGCTGCAGGACGGCCCAGCAGGGACCCTTTCGCTCGGCTGACGATGAAGGTTTCGGGTTGTGATCGCCTGTGCTGTAGGTCCACGTCCAGGCACTCCTGGGTTGTCTCTCTCTCCTCAGTGAGCGTTTCAAACAAATACCTGTCTGCCTTTACAGCCAGCGTGAGGACGCTGAGCAAGACCTGGGAAACAAGAGCGCTAACGGTTTGCAAAGAACAGTGTCGTCGGAATCCACGGACTCAGGTACGGCGCTTGCAATTAATAAATAACGCGTAAGGAATGAAAAGCACCGTCTCTACGTGGCTTCCAGGGTCTGGGGAGAGAACTCGTGCTGCCTGCCTGCGATCCCTGCAGCCGCTTCTCATCCTTGCCCTCCTGAAAGGAGGGAGGCAGGCAAACATCAAGCTTCTGCAGCTCGGGGTTTGGGTGGTGGGTGGGGTTTTTCTTGCTTTGGTTGTCCTGCAGCGTGTTAGCAGCAGAGTTAGGGGGGAGGAAAAACTGGTTCTGCCCCCCCAGGGGGACTCTGGTAGGGATGGCTTTTTCCTGAGGAAGGCTGTTGGGACGTGGCTGCTGTCCTGTCGCGCTCTGTGCTCCAGCACGCTGTTTATCACTGCTGCTTTCTGATTGCCTTGACGCTCTGCTCTGTACGTGGCAGTGGGTCAACGCCTTATTGTCAGCCTGTCGGCCTGCCTTGCAGCAGGGACGGCTGGAGATGAAGGCTCCTACAGATAGCCCGAGATAGGCTTCACCGGTGAATTGGGCTCCCGCCGTTCTCTAGTCTGGGGTGTCTTGCAGATACTGGTTTGTGAGGGTTTAGAGTGGCGTGTTGGGGCTGTGGGCTGGAAAGCGGGGAGATAGCGTGTCACCCCTCACTGTCAGCATGCGGGGCCAGTTCGAGCTTCTGCCCCTCGGAGGGTGATGACTCCTGGTGGCAGCGAGTCGTCGCCGTGTGGTTTCTCTCTCTGAACCCCAGCTGTGCTAACCTGCTCCGCACGCTCGAGGCGAGGCCATGCAGCAGGGCTGGGCTCGTGGTTTGGGGTTTTTTTTTGTGGCTTTCTGTTAACACGAGGTGATTGTTTATCTGAAACCTGGGGAGCGGCATCTCGGTAGCAGTGCTTGCCTAGAAGTGCTTTATCAGTGAGGATGAAATAAGCTGTTACCTCGTAACTTGGGAGACTCAGGGAAGCTTCTGATACTTCATTGGTCCAGCCCAGCGATGGAAATCAGTGTCTCCACCTGAATTTACACACCAGTCTGACTGTGCGTGGTATTTTCAGCCTTCAAAGGAACTCTATGGACTGCTAAAACACGATTGTAGCTCACAGAGCGGGCTGGAATAACCAAGCCTGCTAAATCTTCACTTTCTTCTTGGCTTTTTTCCCGATTTCTTGCCGCCAAAGCAGCTCTTAAGTGCTTACACAACACCCCTGGCAGAGGTTTCTGCTGGGCCAGGGCCACTACCTGTTGTGTTGGTCAAGTCAGTTCTTTGTAGTTGTTTTGGACTGCAGCCGCCGAGGCAGCCGGGATG